TTCTTTGCGGACAACATCCAAAACGGAATCTACCAACTCAGCACTTTCTGTGTAGTGACCTTTGGCCCAGTTGTTACCAGCACCACTCTGACCTGTGAAATACACATGTATTGGATTGTTGGGGAAACACTTGGATATAATTGAATTAAATATTAATTACTTATACTGATCAAATTCAAATTTAAGCCAACACAATATGAATTTGTATGCGATAACTTAAATTATATGTGTACAAATGTAGACAACCTTACAGTATATAATATCATTGAACTAGTGGTATAGTATATACACTATCCTCGGGGGCGGACGTCCGGGTATTTTCTACCGCCTGGCAACCCTCGCGGTGAAAACAAAGACCAAAAACTCGCAGAAAACGGTACTTTGCGATGGTTGTTGAGAGTCCCCTGAACGGTGTAACAAGATTAGCCCTACGTGTGTAACATATTTGAATTTGGTTGTTTAGGATTACTTCAAAGTTGAGTTTGTGTTGTTTTCTCGAGTTTTCACCGGCTCCACCTGCGTTCCACAGCAGCGCGCACAAAGCCCATAGAAATACGTGGTACAGTGGTGCGCGTCTTAGCAACGTAGAATGTCCGTGACGTAGCTCCGCCCCCGAGGATAGGCATACGGTTAGTGGATTTATACGAAATAGAATTATCAATCGCCAAGAAAATTAACATTTACCGAATACAAAGTTGTCTGGTCTGAAAATCTGTCCGAAAGGACCAGATCGGACGGAGTCCATGGTGCCTGGTTCCAAATCCACCAGGACAGCACGTGGAACAAATTTGCCACCGAGTGCTTCATTGTAATACACGTTGATTCGTTCTAACTGGAGATCAGAGTCGCCATGGAAGGTTCCTGTGGGATCAACACCATGTTCATCAGAGACGACTTCCCAAAACTGTTGGTTGGAAACAAATGTACTTGATTCAGATTCTGTTTGATAAAACAAATCCTGGCTGAGTCATCATATACGTTGCACAATGTCCGGGTTACAGCCACTTAAGTTTAGAGCCCAGTCTGTCATATCAGGCGCAGCATAGTTTGCAATTTCTACAGAGGCGTGTTTAAAAATTGTGTCAAGGCAGGGAATTTTAATATTTATTTAGGATGAATACTGTTTCTTTCTATTATTGAAAACAGGGGTTATTCAGATATTAAATACAATCCAGTAGATGGGAAGTTAACAAAGGAGGAAAAATCTGCCAAGGCTGTTCTTGATAGGAACAATATGATTGGGGTAACTTTTAACATGTTGTCGGCAGAGGGCGCATTTTAGAAACTAATCTGCTTGATTAGAAAGTGATAATACATAGAGTTGTTCATATTCCTGCTGAAATTTAAATTGATATTTATAAGCAGCTTATACCATCAACAGTACGATCGCACAGTCATGTTGCCTAGAAACTTGTATTCATGTGAAAGAAACATAGGCGGCTAGAGAAACCATTACGTTACACTTTATTAGTCCAGGTCTAATCGATGTGGACAGTTACAGACGTTTAATGATGAATAGGAACTGGCGCACATAATAATCACATAACAGCATGCAACTCGCTATTTCTAACCTGCGCACACAGCGATGTGCATCGCCTCTGAGGGCAGATTTGTTAACCATTGAACCACACTGACTAACGTAAGAAGGACGTATGTCGGCACCTCCCACGATGTCAATGGGCAAATTTGATGGGAACAATAACACAAACTCTCAATGCATAATACAAGTTCTAACGAGTTTATAATATATTCCACTTGAAAATACAATAACTTTCCTTAGAACCTAATTTATTGTTTATGTTACATTTCTCTATAGACCCTAAATTTTAGGGTCTATGATTACGCCTTGCCTTATCTTATAACAATAGAGTTCCCACTTGAATCATACGAACGATACATTCTTCCAATCACCTGGAATTCGGGATTTACCTACATTTACCTATTGTTACTAAAGATTAGCTTTAAAACAATCATAGCAGATCTGGGCAGATATATATTCTAACTTGTAAGCTAATGGAAATTCTTTTGGAGGGCAATGACAATTCATATATTCAAATTATTTCTTGAAGGTTACAGATATGTAATGAATTAATAGTGATCAAATAACAGTTATTTATGGTGTTTTATCTGCGTTGCCATGATAAATGTTGTTGCTATCACAGCAGTGTGATTACCTATTACCTATATACTGAGTGACAATGTATTTCAGTAAGAAATGTGTATACAACTACATATTGGGCGAATCTTGACCAATTTATTTATTTCAAAACCTAAATTGTGAACAATACAAAATCACAGAGAACATCTACCATGCCATGGAAACTACCTTACTGCGATACAATTTAGATCCCTTCTCCTAACAAAAATATCACCTACAGTTTTAAAAGACAAATTTTCAGTGTTTAGCCAGCCGACTATAAACTGTATTACATCGTGGCACCAATAATTATGTATTCACATATGTCTAATAAACATGAAAGTTTGGTGAGTGTTATTTAATGCATCGCATCGCACGATTGGCCATATGTAGTACAAAGAAGAAAATCAAAAATGTTGGTCTTACCTTGGCACCAATTTGATTACCACACTGACCAGCTTGGAGACTTACAATTTCACGCATGTTAAAAGACAAAGCAGAAGAAATTGTAGGAGAGAGAGTTTGAAGCAGTTGTTGGATCCTCAGTCGAATCTGTTTGATAGCTGAGACACAATTTATAGCGTTCAGGGTGTGTCATAGATAGGGGCGGCAAGTTGAAAGTTTATTATGGATCATTAATGACATTAACTATAGAAAACATTCTTAGTTCACAAATAGTTTATTTCTGATTATAGACTAGAATACAAATCCACCCAATGTCGAGCAGCGTTTCATCAAACACAATATAAAGCGATATGATCATTTTTATTATAAGTAGTTGACGCCCTCATACGCTTACAATACACTCACACGTCGCATAGCAATGTGCATTCATTGGATACACAGCAGACGAATAAACAATGATTAAATCACTATTCAATTAGTCCCGAGCCAAATCTCGTATCCAGTTAACCGTAATTAATGCCGACTATTAGTAAAAAGGAGCCTGGGTGTGCCCTCTATCAAGGATGCAATATAGCCATCAACTACATTCGGTACACTCCACATAACAGCTGTAAACACAAATAACGTTGTGGTTATAGACAAACATTTACTTATTACTCCGTCTTTTCTTACTATTATCTTACAGTAATTGGACGGCAAACTCTCTGTTTGATATGGATTATAGCAAAAAAGATCAATCGGTGAGATTGTTCGCACTATTGGCTAGATATAATACACTTTTATTTTTGAAAAGGTTTTAGATAGCCTGGATTAGAAATTGGTACATGGTATTGATGAATTTAACTTCGTTCTCTCTGTTAAAATGAACCCAATCTCTATAATTAGATCTTGTATAAAGCATATGGGGTACAGTGGTCTCTCTAGAGGGGTCAATCAGGGGATCATTGGAACCGTCCTTCCCCGATAAGTCTGTCAAATAATGGAATCAATGCTATATAGTATTGGCGTATATAAGATTTAAAACTCTTCGCATAACGACGACTGTGTGTTTGTTTACACAGAAAGCATAAAACAATATACGTCAAAACACTCCAATCTCTGGAATTTGTCATTTAAACAATGTAAATGATTAATTATTACCGCATATAAAAATATTTGGAACAACAAATATAGCCTTATTCAGAACCAAAAATATATTCACTTTTGTCTAATTTTACGATAAAGGAAATTTATTTATAGCTGTCATTTTCAGTCGTGATGGCAACAATAACAAATGGCAAGTCCTATTTGCACAGCCTAGGACCTCGCATTCAACTCATATGTTGGTAAGCTCACCTACCGAGCGGATATCCTGTCGTAAGTTGTTGACAATTTCAATAAACAAAATTCCACTTCGCATTTCACTACTTCAATAAAACAAGTTCGTGATCCAAGTTAATGCGCATTAGTTATCTAATGTCAACACACACAACGCTACAGGGCGCAGCCTCGGCTAAATAGAAAGTGATGCTACTTTAGGGTTTAGTCCAGGTTTGAAAGATCAATGTATTCGAGTTTGAATATTTGCTGTTATTATTGTGTGCATTAAAGCAATATAATGCATCGTAATATTGAATATTAAATAAAAATATATATTCGCGTTATATATGTTATACTGATATCTAGGATAGACATCTCCATGGGAAAATGGTTCATAAAAAACTTCGATTAGATCGGTGTAATTCAGATATTTTGCTGCAAATATTTTGCTGCGATGGTGTGAAATATGGATCAAAACTTTTTACAGCAAGACTAGAAGAAGGATTTTTTATCAACTTTTCAAGGCTGCAAATCACCAAGGACGACAATTCACTGAATTCCGTCTGCTAGTTTGTTCAATGAAATCCTAAATACCCGTAACATGTATGTATGCATTGGGTCTCAGCTAGCGATTTATTTTTTAAAGAATGCATCAGTTTCATCCAGTTTGTGGTGCGTGTATTGCAATGTCAGCTGTTTCGTTTGAGGTGCGTGCTATTGCAATGTCAGCTGTTTCGTTTGTGGTGCGTGCTATTGCAATGTCAGCTGTTTCGTTTGTGGTGCGTGTATTGCAATGTCAGCTGTTTCGTTTGAGGTGCGTGCTATTGCAATGTCAGCTGTTTCGTTTGTGGTGCGTGTATTGCAATGTCAGCTGTTTCGTTTGGGGTGCGTGTATTGCAATGTCAGCTGTTTCGTTTGGGGTGCGTGCTATTGCAATGTCGAAATATGATAAATTGCTATTATGCTGTATGTTTAAAAAATCAGTTGTTCGGCAATAAATAATTTCAGAAAATCAGTCAAAGTTTGTTTTCAACAACGCGTGTGTAATTACGTTTACAGTGCAAATTTTGCCATGTCGTTTACCGATGACGCGAACTCTTTGATAGAGGGGTCACTCATGTCCCTAGTTACTTATACTCAACAAAAAATGCAAGTCAACTAGGAAAGTTAAATAGCTCTAGACTTAATGAAGTGTGAATAACCTATTATTTATCTCTTAAACGTATGTTGCTAGGGGATATGATTGTAATGTATTGTATTAAGCTCATGGAGGTCGTAAACCACTTAATACGAAAACGATTATCACGCCCTTGAATGTGTTAATTGTTTGATATAATGGTTCTCGGCATTTCAATTGGTGAATTTACTTTCTAATCCACAGTATGAACTAAATTATGTGTAAACTTTAACTTCATATAGGGTTTACAACAACCCACTTACCGCCCAGTACACCGACACAAGCTATGATGTGTAATCGCATACGCACATTCGACAGGTGCAGCCAACAATTTCTAGTCGAAGTTACAGATATACAGTGGAGTAGAAATATAAATCTCTTCGTAGCTCTTTTATTCTCAAAAAAACCTGTCAACTCCCCTCTCATATACAGTGTGCATAGAACAATCAACATTCCATATTGCTGTAACCCAGGTATTTTTATACCAACAGTTTTGGGTAGTCTGCTTTAATGAAGAGAGCATCGGGTCGAAGTTATCCAGTTAGTCGGTGGTGGGTAGATGGATTACTTTGTCCGTGATCTATGCTGCACGCATATGACACGTAAATTGGTCCCATGGCGCTTGTAGTCATGAAATAAAATATAAACAGTTAATTAAGTTATTTTTACTCATTGATACATTCATGTGTTAATTCCAGAGTGTTTATTCTGATCTCGTGTTAGTATGGGAATAACATCTAAGTACAAATCTAATCTGAAGCCTTCCTCAATCGTATCTTTCAATAAGTTCGTTTGCTTCTGGTGCAAAGATTTAGATATTGGTGATCTTACAGGGCTGGCTTGGTAGCTCATTATGACTTGTAGGTAGATAATGTGGTATGAATTCTTGCGTACTGTAAAATGACTAATTTTCACTGGGTTTAAATTTCACTGATTTGCCATTTCAGGCATATTCAGTGGGTTTTAAATTCACGGTTTTATCATTTAGATAATGTGTTCTATGCTAAATTTTACATATTCACTGGGTTTTAATTTAGCGCATTTTCCAGTCAGCGAAATAAGCCAAATTAAAACCCAGTGAATAATTAACCCCTTTACAGTATTAATTGGTTCATTTGATGATGTGGATCTACTACTATCCCCACTATTATCATTGGATAATGCACTATCCTCACTAAAACTATGAATAGAACTGCTAACTGTATTAACACTAAATCCTGCGCTCATATATGGATTCTTCAACGAACCATAAACTATTGAGCCTACCACCACACAAGAATTTGTCTTACTGTTATTCGGAATTTCGTTCGCCATCAGGCTCTAGACGATCTATATACACTGGAATTTGTTTCTTGTCGTCAAACAGTTCGACGTTTCCTACACAATCGGTAACAGTACAGCTATCACAAGAGCTCTTCAAGCGTGTATCTGAGCAGTTCACCGCTATGTTCCGTCGTAAGGCTTTCTTGCATTGGTACACTGGTGAATTTATGGATGAGATGAAATTCACTGAAGCTCAATCTGAATACCAACAATACAAGGATGCAACAGCTGAGGAAGAGGGTGAATTTGACGAGGAGGAAAGCGAAAATGAAGAGAGTAAACTAAACTTAAAAGCCCACAAATGCACAGGAATATCTCAAAGTTTGACAACTTAATTCCAAGTCAGGAATCTTTATTTCCTCAAATCAGAAATGAGATGTGTAGAATCCAGATGCTGTTTCCGACAAATGACGAACCCAAGTATTACCCGACCCAGAAAAACTGGCTAGAGCAACAAGAGGGCGCGTCTTCCATTGTTCAAACCTCACAGAATAGTATTGTACAGTGACTGTATTTTGGGGTTATAAAAGACAACATAGAGCATAATATTATGTGTTATGTGCTTGGAATGCATGAATATTAACAATGACAGTGTATTTTCACTACTTATTGTCAACTGAACTGAAGTATGCTACACTGCATTTGAAATATGTATTACTAATAAAACAAATACGTAGCTTAGACGAACATTAAAACACTTTTAAAGGGGTGGACCCTAATTATGCTAATAACTCAATTTATTCAATATTACAATGCGCTGAACAAACGTTGCCGCAACAAAATGAGTTGATGTATTGTTCAAATTACGGATATTGAGTTACAAATATGACAACGTCTAATATTTTAGAAACCAAGTCAAAAGTCTTTCTGAGCTTTATTTTTTTTTTTGATATCGGCGATTCCAATTATATCAACCCCGTCTTAGCAACGCACGGGATGCGTTTCGTCAACTGTACCGTATCTTACATGTGTGCCGTTAAGGGACGCGGAACAGACGTGAACACTGACCTCGTAGCCCACAAACCGGTACATCAGTGTCAATGGCATATATAGACCCAATTCGCGAAAACTGAATACAGTGTTACACATATGGCAAAAGACGGTAAAAATAAAAACGTATATATATATCATTTATTGTTATAAAGTGTTATAATCCTTTTAGAGCCTGAGAATATTGACCATCGCTGGTTTCAAGCATGTCTTACTTCCTGGCTATATTATTCCTCAGGTCAGTAGCATAGCACCATCTATTTCACTTGTTGGGTTGCTCTTGTTTTTCTTCGTATGGACTTGAATGGGCCAACCATGTGAATTTTACAGCATATGGATTTGTATCTCACATGACTGTGTATCCGACGACATAAACTCGAAAAGTGAGTTAATTGTGGAATATTGTCGAGCTCTTGCAACACTGCAAAATACAACTAAGACAGTCTGGCTTGGGATCGAGAATCGCATTACCAATAAAAGTTGCAACTAACATTTTTCATAAAACAGATTTCCAGTTTTATTTATAAAATATCGTTCAGTTACATAATGCAAATCCATTAAAATTATGGATATAATTTAAATAAATAATCATAAAAACACAGCACCTTTACTGATAAGTTTACTCTTTATGAAAATATCACTTTCTAAAAGCTGGACTGGCGTTTTTTTTAATTAAAATTAGTGCCCCGTAGTTAAATTACATCAATTACCTAATTTGCATGATAATTATGATGATGATGATTTGAATTTCAATAACATTTAGTGCATTGATAAAATATGCAATGTTATTCGCAGTATTTTGCGCCAATACTGTCAAATCTGCAATTGAATAGTTCATTGTAGTATTTGCATTGGTAGCTATTGTTGACGTGGTACCATGCATTAAAATCAGCAAATGTCATTCTCGGTTATGTATGAAACTAATCTCAAGTCTGTTATTTACTTCCGTGTTTCGTAGTGTCACACAAAGTCCCATCCTTTCGAGAAAAAATTGTAAGTTTAAAATGTAATAAAAAGTACCCATTTAATATAAAATAGATATAAAGATAAATTATTGAGAAATCGTTGTAGTCCAACTACTCAAGAAAAATACACTCAAGTACAAAAGGCAACAAGGAAAACAAAAATAAGAATCTGAAAAACTGAAATGTGGGAATATTTTTATTTGGAGTGTGAATATTTGATTAAGTTTACATAGTCATAAAAAACCTGTACATTTGGTATAAATTGCAATTGCATTTCATAATTTCGAAAACAAATACATAAATAATATTATAATGCTGCGACATAATTCGAGCATTACAAATTCTTTCGTTTACTAAATAATTACGATCAGGTGGTACTACGATTATATATATATTATTGCTTTTCAATAACCGACTAACCCCATCGCAATTAAACACAGAATGCGACGTTAAACGTACATATTGATCTATGGGTCACGTGATCAAATGTGTATATTGAAAATCTATGGTATTGAATATTGTCAACTAGAGGAATGTGTTCAACACAACGTTGGTATATCAGCTCTGAATTGGACAATACGAAAGCTGCCCAAATTGACCCGAACTGCATAGTTATGCATAGTTTATTGCCAACAGATCACCCGATCAGTACACAGCAATATTGATTGTATATCGACATATGTCACGCCGACCGTACGGGACATGGGTCGATCCATTATCGTGCTATCATTTATTTATTTATTTGCCGCCGTTACCAGACATATACATTAGATGCAATGAACTCTACCAAGAGTAGGTATTACCAGACTGGGGTGATTCTCGTTGTCTTGGTGACGTTATGTGTGTGGTATTTCACAGTGGACATCAGAAACTCGATGTATGCATCCAATAGTAGGTATTACCAGACTGGGGTGGTTCTCGTTGTCTTGGTGACGTTATGTGTGTGGTATTTCACAGCGGACATCAGATACTCGATGTATCCATCCAAGCAGTGGCGGATCTAGCAAAATGTAATGGGGGAGGGGGCAAGCTTCGCTTAAGATATACGGAGCGAAAATCGCAGAGAAGCTATGCGTAATCCAGATGATATGAATCGTCATGCGTTTGGGGGGCATGCCCCCCCCTCTGGATCCGCCACTGCATCCAAGGATTTTGTTTTATTAACTCCATATTGCGATGTGAAGCGAGTAACTGATTTCGGTAAGAGGATGATATTATGACATTATATTTACATTTAAGATTGCGTTTTCGGATTGTGAGTGGATTATGGAAGTGGTGTACTTGTCTGTTTCTGTGGGTTTGTGCAAAAACATCCTTAATACAAGAAACGAGTTTGATAAGGGCTGGTCGACAACAAAAGCCATGTGTGATGTGTACTAAAAGTTATGATGTTAATTCTATGAAAGTATGAAATATTAATATACCAGCTGTGAATGACAACCACAGTGTTACTGAATGAACGCAATGAAGTATGCACTGTTTATGTTGCTAACAAATGACGTTTGATTTTTTTTTCTTCAAATTTAGAAATACGTCAGGTAGTGTTATACATTATGTTTGTTTGTCTATATGTTAAATGGTTTGTATGCAATGTGTGACAGTATATGTAATTTAGAAATGATACTATAAAATCACAGAATACAGAGCAGGGTAGTTTATTTTTAATACTGAACAATATATCAGATGAAGGATATTAATGACATTTTCAAATTTCATAATATCCAAGTAATATAATACAATTGGAATGCAATTTCCGCTACCAAACAAATACTGCTTCAACATAAACAACTAACATAACATGTAAGATAGGCGCAAGTATGTTTTACTGGAGAGTAATTAAATGACAAACGACTGGATTCAGGTCTTGTCTACGAAAAACGCGACAATCGCACAATTAAATCGTTTTGTTTCAAAAATCAATTAGATGAACAATACATTTTTCATACAATATAACCTAGAATAAACTTTTAAAGACAAATGATAATTGTAAAACAGATAATACACAATGTTTTGTGGTGATTTATTTGGTATACTGGTAAAATAAAATTCAATGATGGCGTGATTGAAAAAACACTTTGAAATGAGCGCCCATTAATTTATGTCGAGATGGTATATTGAACCAGTCATATAACGTGGATTCAATAGACTGTATCTAGTAACAACACATATATTCATTCATTGTTTTCTATAAAGTTAATCTCAGAATTCTGACGGCATCCTCTCAAAGTGGGGGTGTTCATATTCGACCGACCGACTGACGAATATGTTACAGAAGTTTTATGCTTGGTCTAAAGCTCAAAACCGACGCATTTATAACAAAAAATAATTGATGTATTGCTTCCTGTAAGTATTTTGTTAGTTGTACATACATGTACATATTTTAAGAACAACTGCATTGGTAGAGGGGGTAGCAATCTAATAGCTTTGAAAGCTGATCTAATAGGTTTTCTTTGCTTTAATGAACATTTCTTGTTGAAACATGTTGTTAGCCGTTCGCAACATGCACAGTTGTCATAGTAGCATGATATTGATAAATACAAACACCATGTTGATTACAACATATGCTTCAAGACCATTCATCACGATTACTTGTTAAATTTATACTATCATTAAATATTTGTTAAAGTAGGCAGTTTATATTTATCAAGTCCAGGTTTTTTCTTCAGCTATGTTTTGACTAAACATAGGGGCCACTGACCTGGGCCAATTGCTTGTAAGATGCTTCGTTCAGACAAAGCCAGAAACGAACATGCATACGAATTTATGCATATTAATTTAATGTAATCCAGTCATACGGCAGGGGATAAAATGGCCGCCGCCAAATTACAAAAATGAATCAGTCCACAAACGCCAGCGACGTTGATATGCTATTGGCCTAATAATTAATTTAAATGACTGGTAAACACGCATGCGTAGTAATAACAGCGTACCGGTATACCCAATCAGCCACTTAGTAAGCATTTATGTCTGTCATAACATCATTTATCCAGAGTAATTTTCATAACAATTTTTGAGAATTTACTTTATTTGAGAGAACTTTTGAAACATGAAGCTTCAACAAAATAAATTTTGAGTGAGTGTTAATATCATGTATGTTAGTGGTTACCTACGTTGTAATTGACACGAGCACTTCGTCCCCTCAAAACATCTCCTGCTGTTCTCATCAGGAATCGATTCTCGGTCCAATTTTATTTCTCTTGTTCATCAATGATATTTCTAACTCTATCAGCGTCTTCGATTTCCACCTTTTTACCGACGACACCAACCTTTTCAAAGTTCTTAGAAATAATGTTATTGATCTCAACAAGATTAACATTGAATTCCAGAAGGTGTGCAACTGGTGCAATGCAAATAAATTAATCATCAACACAGACAAAACTAATGATATGTTAATTAAAACACCCCAGGGAGCAATCCATACTTGTGGTAACATTAAGGTTAACAAAAATATAGTAGAGGGCGTCACATCTACAAAGTAACTGGAAGGAACAAATTTGTAAAACTATTTCACCTAAAATTGGTAGTTTGTCTAAAATTCGTCTTTTTGTCCTACGATCTATTGTTATCTTGCTTAACAATTTCCTCATTTTACCACTTATTACTTACTGTATTGAAATATAGGGTAACACCTACAAAACCTTTCTTATCAAAATTCTACTATTACAAAAAAAAATGTTAGCGTGATAACGTATTCAGATTTCCGTGCCCCATATCACTCCTATTCAAAAAAAAAAAATGTTTAGACATCTATAAACTTCGTAAGTTTCACACCTGTCTGTTTGTTTTGATATTATTCAGAACTCGTCTACTAATCAACACAGTCTCACCTAACAAGCAGCAAAAAAATGGAACTTACTTCCTGATCCCACAAAAAATATCAAAAGAATTATACATTATTATTATTATAATTATTATTATTAATATTAAGTATATGCGTGTTAGTAAACCATACAAATTGAATGTACCAATGTAATTCTCATTGTTGATGCAATCACATAATACTATGCTCTGTGTTGTCTTTTAGAAACCCAAAATACTCGAACATGCAATAACTGTTCTGTGGGGTTTGGACCATGGAAGAAGCGCCCTCTTGTTGCTCTAGCCAGTTTTCCTGGGTCGGGTAATACTTGGGTTCGTCATTTGTTGGAGACGGCATCTGGATTCTACACAGGGTCAATATATAATGATGAAGATCTCTACAATGCGGGTATGTCACATTTATTATTGTCACAAATTTGGATTGCTATCTCTTCGTGTTTGTATAATAATCCTGGTTGCACCAACCCATACAGTTGAACAGGCCTAATTATTATTTTGGTCTCAGCAGTATTTGGAGATGAATGTGGATAACTTTGTCTCCTATGTTAACAGTGACAAAGTGTAGTTATAAACGCAAACTTGACAATACAGATGTGTGTAATGGAACACATTGCCTGCATAATTTGTAAATGTAAAAATGCATTGATGGCTTGATTTAAACAGAGGTAAATTTACAGTTTAGTCAGTTTTATATCCGAGTCGTGTTAGCTTTCTTTTAATCAAGACGTTAAATTTACAGCCTTGGTAGTTACAATGGAATTATGATACTTAATTTGCAAGTTTTGTAAAAGTGTACATGTTTCCTGGTCATAATAGGTAGTAATGGAACATGCTCAACATTGCATTTTTATACAATAGACGTATAGAATATTTTCCACAATTAACAAAATCCACAAAAACACAACAACACAATTAACAGTACACTGCACTATACACTACATATTCAAATCTGTCTAATGATATATGATATCTAATGATATATGATATATGTATATATGATATATGTATATATGATAATTTGTATGTCATTGTTAAAAGGCACGCGTCTATTTTTATGAGAGTAGATTTATATAATGTAGCCATATTATTTGGAACAGGTACATTTGAAATTTTCACACTGCAATTTAAATTAACAGAATTTCGTGCAAACCATGTTGATAATAATAACTAGAAATGTCGAAAACAGCCAAACTGCACAAAACTACTGGATCACACTGGTCATCGTGACTTGTAGTGCTATTTGTTATTATTTTGCCTGCAGTTCATCGCTCTTACTATTACTAAAGTTATGAGACTCGGCTGGTTAACAATTTAAAAAAATGTTTATTAATGTATATCAAGATGCCGGAGTTTTTTTTTATTTGTACAATGTAAGGTAAAAAAATGAACCGTTGAAATGGTCGATGCGTCGGTTTCATGGCGGCCGAGTATTTTAACTTTAATATAGTTATAGTAATAGCAATACAAAATAGGGAAACAATTAATATACAATAGTTCTGAACGATTTATTTGATTTGTTTAGCCCTGGAGTGCCTGTGTATATGAGTGATATGTTTACACGAACACGTCTGATACCTTGGTTTGGTAAAGTGATTAAAACGTTTGACTAGAATCACGTAGTGTGTGGTTTGACCTTTGTGTCAGCATCCTTTATTTCATGTTTTTGTCATATTACCCCAAACCCTGCAAATGTAAGTATGCATGGAATCATGGGAAGAAACGGTGTGTATTGTGATAACTGTCATAAAGGTGATTGACAGGTCATACTTGTTTTCAACTCTGGAAGGACAGTGGGTTCTAACAGGTGTGCTTGTAATTTACATAACAAATGGTGTTTACAACTTTGGAAGGAGAATTGGAATCTACCAGGTGTGCTGTTATTTGAATAACAAAGGATGTTTATGATCTACTGAGTTGCCTACGTGACACAGCTGCTAGCAAGATTACATTCTGATTGGCTCATGTGGAAACCCAGGTTGTGTCACTGCCTATAAATTGGACAGACTAAAGACAGTTTGGGTCGATAATTTCAACTTGCTTTCCTGTGTGTTCTGCTACGATACGATATTACAGGCTACAACCATCATTCTGTGAGACTTGTATGAACTGCTCTGCGATCTCTTGCTTTCAGCGGTGCCCTCTAGAATACTAGCGCTCCTCTGCAAGCAAGACTCCTGTATTTCTCCGTTGTGTTGCAGAAGCCATTGACTGTCTTCCAATAATACATCCTGGAACTGTGAGTTATCACCAATGCACACTTCCCTAAGCAATCCCCTATTTTAGTGACTTTATTCATTGTATTTTTCTGTGCTTTATTTCTTGTAATTATTTTGAGAGGTATTAAAGCCAGGAGCTTTAACTCGATATGTTTGGCGTATGTGTATTTCATTTCCAGTACTATTGTCTTGTCTACCCCATACTAGCAGTGAAAGAACCCCCTGTCCAGTATGAGTTCTGTGGGTGGTCCTCTCAATTGCGATAAGCAGGTCTTACACTGTGACACTTTGGATAACTCTGATAACCGACTCGTCCCGCAGCAGTATATGCAAAAATATCTGGTGTTCATACCGTCAAATATACAGTAACAGATTTGGAAAATAACGTCCTATCAGTTATTGAATCTTTTTTATCCGTTCTCTGTAAAATGAATTAGTTTTTAATATGTTTAGGTTTTTAAAATTCGCAATTAAATTCATTGATTATATTTTAAAAGATACTATTTCAATTGAGAAATGTAAGATGTTCATAACAAAATTCAGATATCGATATGCATTATTATATATAATAAATTTGTCTTCATAGGATTCTTGGGTGAAAAGAATAAATTGAACGAAGTACTCGTTGTGAAGACCCATGACAGTCGCACAACGCGGAATTACCCGCACGCAATACATATTTTGAGAAATCCGTATGATGCCATTCTATCAGAGGTTGCACGTTTGCAATTGAATAGTCACGTTGGAATCGTCAATGATGAAGTATTCAAGAAAAAAGGCAAGTCGCTATTTAAACGAATATTTACACTAGTAGCGTAGTGGATTTTCAGATGGACCAACAAATAAGCCAACCCTGTGCCACAAACTCAGTAGAAAAGGGAAGGAACAACGCCACAGTTCTGTCACGTACTCCTCAAATAATTTTGTTTGACTGAGCCTTGTTGACGCTAGGATAGCACATTAAATTACATGCCACTACAATAAGATGTTCTCACAATTCTGTCACGTATTTACAAAAACAATATAGGAGCATGAAAGGACGGGCGAGTTCACCGTGACATTCACTGCTAGAAATTGTAACATGACCATACAACACCTACCGCCTGCCATAAATCATTCTCTGTAACCCATGGAGTGTATACATCATTCTGTTATTACTAATTAAATCATTCATGTATCAAAAATACAAATAAATGATGTTTTACTCTGCATGGCAATTTGCGTTCAGTGGACCTGTTATTGCTCGTCTTTTTTCTTGTCATTTCCTAGGCATTATGCTTTTTGCAAAGCGATGAAGTGGAAAATATTCGAAGACCAACATCATTTATTTTACTAATATTAAATTTATATTACAGGATGGCCGAAAAGAGTCATGAATTTAGGAACTCGTTGGAAGGAGCACTCCGAACAATGGCTTAAAAACAACAACCCCACTCTGCTCGTTATGTATGAGAAGCTTAAACATAACCCAGTTTTTGAAGTTCACAGGATGATGATGTTTTTGAACCTCACCCTGACCTCCGATAGGTTGTGTTGTTTGGAAGACAATATTGAAGGGAAATTCCATCGTCGCCGAAATGAATCCGCGGCTTTCAACCCTTATCCAAACGACACACAAGTTTTTCTCGATGCCCTCATAGATGACATAAATTGGATTTTAAAAGAAAGAAAATATGACATATTGTTGCCTTCAACTCTGTCAACTCGTCATTAAATATTTTTTGAAAATTTACCCATGTTTATTTATTTGCAAGTTTATTATTGAACTATTTCTATCATGATTATGAAAATGTGTGCGTGTATACTAATCGTGGCAACTTAGAACTATATAGAATTTTTGAACTATATACAATATTCGAAAAAAGTCTTGTATATATATGTGTATATATATATATATATATATTTTAACTGTATTTATTATCAAATTATAACCTAATATTCTGGTCAACTTTATGTAAGTTTACGCCCACGCCTTTAACACGGAAGTCACCAGGCGGACAACTATATTTAAAACAAATAAAACATGTGACTTGTGTCAATTCAGCTTTGCGGTGAATATTACTTTTTAATTGGAATGTTAAATTCATTACAACTTTGGAGACAGACACATTTAACTTTCCTGTGTGTGAACATTTGCTATGATTCTTTCCCTGAGAAAATCCAGCTGCACTAAAGATGAAATGTATAACGCGAAACACAGTACGCCGTGGATGGTACTGTAATATATAATGCATAGTTACACCGTTACTAGTGCTGTAATGTATAATGCATATCACAGTACGCCGTTACTAGTGCTGTAATGTATAATGCATAGTTGCGCCGTTACTAGTTCTGTGATATATAATGCATATCACAGTACGCCGTTACTAGTTCTGTAATGTATAATGCACATCACAGTACGCCGTTACTAGTTCTGTAATGTATAATGCATATCACAGTACGCCGTTACTAGTGCTGTAATGTATAATGCATATCACAGTACGCCGTTACTAGTGCTGTAATGTATAATGCATATCACAGTACGCCGTTACTAGTTCTGTAATATATAAGGCATAGTTACGCCGCTACTAGTTCTGTGCTATATAATGCATATCACAGTACGCCGTTACTAGTGCTGTAATGTATAATGCATATCACAGTACGCCGTTACTAGTGCTGTAATGTATAATGCATATCACAATACGCCGTTACTAGTGCTGTAATGTATAATGCATATCACAGTACGCCGTTACTAGTGCTGTAATGTATAATGCATATCACAGTACGCCGTTACTAGTGCTGTAATGTATAATGCA